AGCGTCTGATTCTGGATCAATAATGACTACAGTTCTAATGCTCTCTTCATTTGAAGGTGGACTATTTTCTTCATCTTGATTTCCAGTGTTGGTACAGTTTGAGCGTGGCGTAGTGTCAATACTTAACGGGTTACCAGTGGGCTCTGTTACCGTATCAGGTGGGTGATTGACGAGAAAGAGCCCTGTTCCTTCACGCTCTTGTTGGTACACAAGTGGATCTTCTGATGGTTGATTCTGAAGTGCACTGTGGACATAATTGTCACTATGGTCATTATTGGGAACCTCTTCTTCTTCTTCAGTCAGGGGTAGCTCTGGTTCGTCATTCTCTCTTTCCTCTTCCTGCGGATGACTGAGATGGCCCTCATCTAATACCTGATTGCGTGTAAAAAATTCGTCGTCGTTATTGGCTCTGCCTTGGATTCTTGTACCATTATCAGCGTCATTTGCTTCACTTGCAGAATCTTTGGCATCATTATCTTCACTACTCGCCTCCCGGGCAGACTCTCTGGCTTCTTCACATTCCTCTGTAGTTGGTTCTAATGGTAGTTCAGCCTGCTGATAATCGTGGAACAGTGGGGCGCTACTGTTGTTCTGAGAATGCTCGAAAATGGGTACTGTAATTGTTTCATCTTTGTTTGCATCCGTGGGTATAGGAATCTCCGTGCATGCTTCAAGGACTCTGATTGTCTCCGTCAATAACTCCTTCTTGATTGAACACTGATTGTGATGGAGCTGTTTCATGATTTCTACCAACACATGTGGTTTCGATTTTTGTTTAAACACGATGTGGTTATTTACCTCATCTCCCAATAGCTCAGGATGCTCTTCCTGGAAACTGTAAAAATCTTGCTTAAATCCACTTATTCCTACCATTTCTTCGTGTTTGTGTAAATAAACATATAATTCTGCTCTGTGTTGTTCTTATACACGGTCATCAATTCATTGGCATCACTGGATGACGTTATTGCTCGCAGAATCTTATCCTGTACGCGATCATCTCATACAATGTCTTGGGACATATGGCTTAACATGATTTGATGTCGAATCCGGTGTCAAATGAACTTTTGATTTTTGTGATTGCGCCTAAATATGATCTTAGTTGGATATCTTGATAGCATTCGGTCCGAATAATGACCTTTATTAAGTGTTTGGTTATACTGTCTTTTAAAGTGTGTTGTAAACTGAAATCATAAAATGTTGAAGGGGTAATCTTTGGCGCCTGATGGTGACAGTTTGAGATATCAATCGTGGCAATGTAGTTGGCGCAGTTGGTTGTTTCTTGGAATTTGTATCCTAATTTCCCAGTGATTGTTTTCTTAACAAACAGCTTGGTTCTTTCTGTTGTTAACTTGAAATGATTTTTGGTCCAATGTAGTGTATATGTTTGTGTTGGATCGGTTTGGTCGTTTATGTTATATGATTCGCCTGAACCCTGATTTGAAGTGGCAATTGTACATACCACTTTTAAAATGAATAAGACTTCAATAAAAAGCATGCTTATAAGTGTCGACAATAAGGTGCTGCTTCTAATTGAAATTAAAATTGTATCCAAGGTGTATTTGTGGTGGAATAGTTGTGTGTGTAAAAGTTATTTTGGTATTCTTTGAATTCTGAATTTTGTTGCAAAAACTCAAACAGTGTAAATTGGTGGTACATGACCCCAAAAATGAAATCCACTAACCATAAATGGCATCTCCTAAAAAAAAGAGGTGCAAGGGATCCCCTCCAGCTTCAAACCAAAACCTTATGATCACACTATCCTCTTTGTATCATCGTGTATATCAAAGCAGAGTAAAAAACCCAATCTCATGGACAGACTACCTTGGTTTGTTATTACCAACTAGTCGGAGTCTTGCAAAAGTAGATACTAGGGCAAAAAGATGTGGTTAAATGCAAATTATCGAAATGGGCAAGCTCTGGTCAATGGCTCGTATATTCCTTAGGACATGATCAGAGAGATATTGCTTCATTGGTCCAATGGGGGAGGTTTATTGGCATGTGTAGTGTAGCGTAGTGTGGTGTAATGTGGTGCAGTGTGTGCTCTGCGATGTTTGGTTGTTGTTGTTCTGTTTTCCTTATTTTTAGTTTTTTTTGTATTGTTTTGCAACAAAAATGTATATGAAGGAGACTAAATACAAAACTCAAATAGAAAATGATACGAGAGTTGTAATCAAAAGTTTTAATGTTTTCAAAGTGTGTGTGTGTGTGTGTGTGTCTTTCTCTCTCAAAGTTAGTTTCCAATTCTGGAAACTAATGGAACAATTTTACGACTACTCCTACTAATAATACAGTTCTAGGCATAATGCATCTTTTAGAGACTAGTAAGGATTTGCCAAGGTTTTTGACAAAGTATGTGGTTGGATATTCTTTACAAAGATACAAAATGAGCCTCGGGTGTTGGTGATAAAGTGGGGGTAGTGGGGCAATAGTGAGAAGAAGAAGAAGAAGAAGAGGAAGAAGAAGTAATTAATATATATATGTATGTATAGGTGGGTGAGTCGTATATTTAATTGCTTTTTATTTGTTCTTTCTTCGTCTTTTCAAAATTAAACGAATTCTCGAACGCATTTGTTTGTGTTTGTGGTTTACTTTTGTTTATGTTTATTATGTTTAGTAGGATTGCTGTTTGTTTTGTTTAAAACACTTTTTGGTCCTCGGGATTTGTGTTCTGACTGACTGAGAAAGAAAAGGGGTGTATGTATTAATTTAATTAGTTAGCTGTTGGTTCTGATCTATAGAGAAGTTTCTATTTTCTCTGTGACATAGGACAGAAGAACTACTTTTCTTTGGTTCTTTTTTACTAATAACATATATATATATATATGTACACCTCATGTACATTGGCATTAGGTACACCAATTGCGAACTGGACAGAGGTTGTTGTTGATGTAGTAGTTGTTGTTGTTGTAGTTGTAGCTTTATCACATGTAGTGTGTAGTTGTATGTTTGGTTAGTAGTATGTAGTATGTAGTAGGTAGTATATTTTGTGTGTAAAATAGCAATCATAACATGGAACAACGTCATACAAAAAATACAGTAAAATTAAATAAATTTACTGTGGCTTTTTGTGACACTACAATCACCATAAGTTACAATATACACCACCGCAACAACAAACAACAAACTACTAACTATTCTAGGTAGTAATAGTATGTATTACACTGTATTAAGTGTTAAGTGTTAAGAGTAAAGTATCCTCCCATTTTCAATTTTAAGTAACGTTGCGTAGTTTTCCAGATGTATTTTTTTACTATAAATACTCCTACAATCCTCTCTATTCTACAACTCTCCTTTCAACTAACTTCTTCTTAAACACACACACACACACACACACATCAATTCTTTTTATAAACTAATCAATCATGTCCGACGCTGGTAGAAAAAACTTCTCAGACAAAGTTACTGAATCATTAACTCCAGAGAGTGAGAAATCCACCTTGGAAAAGGGAAAGGAAGCCGTTACTGACAAAGTTGACGAATTTGCTGCCAAGAATATACCAGACAACCAAAAGTCATTTGGTCAAACTGTTGCTGATGACGCCAAGAAGGGTTCCGATGATGCCAAAGCTGCAGTAGAGAAGGAAAAGTCTGCTGCTGACCAACATGGCCAATCATTGGCTGAAACTGCTCAAGAATACGTTGATGAAGCTAAGAAGCAAATTTCGAATGCTGCTGAATACGTATCAGGTGTTGTTTCTGGTGCCACTGAAGGAGCCAAGACTGGTGGTGAAAGCACTAAGAAATAAATTTATTAGTATTAGAGCTAGAGATTTAAATTTATATCTACTTACCTATATATGCATCAATGGTTTCACTTTTATTCTACTAGCCTTGAATAAATATACATATTAATTGTTAATAGTTGTTAGTTTTACTTCTGTCTCTTCCTCTGTAGAAGGAGTTACGTTTTATGCAAAGGGGTCAAAATATCTTTGAGCACGTGACCTACTTGACATGTCGCAGAAGGAAGACATGCGTCACATCAGCTCAGCTAAAATTTAATCAAAAAAATCCCATCTCCCAAAAGCTCTTACACCATCGCCAAAACCCAGTTGGAAAAATAGACGACAGGCAGCAGGCAATAACCATGAGTGATAGGGAATCACAGTCAGACTTTTTTTCCGATGATGACTCAGATGGAGCAAACAAGGTGTTTGCTTTGAAGTCAAAGTCCAAAGATTTATACAGTAAATATGACACAAGAGATGAAGAATCTGATCTTGAACAGGAGGAGGAGGAGGAGGAAGAAGGAGAAGAGAACCACGATGATGTAGATATCAACCAAAACTACGATAATAATTATGAGCACGATGACGATGATGATGAGCACCTAGATACACACCAAAGAGACGATTTGTCTGATCAAGAAGATGACGATTCCACAACCACCACCAAAATCTCCACCATCAACAAAAAACTAAAGAAACTTACCCCCAAAGAGCTAGAGAAAGAACAAAAACGAATCAAAAAAACTGGTGTTTGTTATTTATCCAAAATTCCTCCCTACATGAAACCTTCTAAATTACGTTCAATTTTATCACGATTTGGATCAATTGATCGATTATTTCTCAAACCAGAAGATGCATCAATTTATCATAAACGAGTCAAATATGGAGGCAACAAAAAGAAACGGTTCACTGAAGGTTGGATTGAATTTGTTAATAAAAAGGATGCCAAACTATGTGCTCAAACTTTAAATGGTAATAAATTGGGGGGTAAAAAAACCTCTTATTATTATGACGATATAATAAATATCAAGTATTTGAAGGGGTTCAAATGGTTAGATTTGACACAACAAATTGCTAAAGAAAATGAAATTAGACAAGCTAAATTGGCATTGGACTTGTCACAGCAAAATAAATTCAACAAGGCATTTGTTCATAATGTCGAACAACTGAAGATGATTGAAGGGATTAAACGAAAAAGAAGCGCAAATGGAGAAGCCAAGGAAGGAGAGAAACAAACAGCAGCTACAGCTACTACAACAGCAGCAACAAATAAGAAGAACAAGAAGGATAGTAATGATGATGATGAAGATGACGATGATAAATTGAGAAGACATTTCAAACAAAGAAAAGTCACAAGTACTAGAAGTGACGCCTCAAGTGAATTGAAACAGAAATCGACCCCTAATGATCGCTTATCCCACGTTTTATCCAAAGTTCTTTAGAATTCTTCATACATATATACATATATATATATATATATAATTTGTCTCTGGTGTTGCGATTCCATGCCAACCAGCGAATACGTGTAACTTTTGTTCCTATATCTCGTATTACTCTTGCCAAATAGAACAAGCTTTCCTCAATTCAAATCATTAAACAATCATTTACACCATCAAAGCATCGCTCTTTTCAAAGATTTGTCTCCTTAAGTCAAATCCAACCAGATAAAAAAGCTCAAGAAGCCCAACTTGCCGCTCAATCATAGATAGTATTTGATACACTATTATTATAATCTTCTGCTCCATTTGAACCATTGGACTGCCTGTTAAAAGTTATCGCCATCCCTAACGGCAATGAAACTCAATGTATTTAACTTGGTGTCATTGTGTCCATATTTTTGATCAATAATAAAAATCACTTTGATTCAGATCATCAGCTAAGTGGTTAATTGTGCAATGTAAACGAGACAGATTAGGTACAATTCCAGCTTCAGGACCCCATAAGTATCGAGCAAATTTTGATAAGTGTGGTGCCAAAGCCGCTACTTGCTCTCCGCTTAGGCCCTTGTTACCTTCCAACACTAACTCATACAACCTAGTGTGCTTGGATTTACCCTTATGCCCGATAGACTCCATAGATATCTCTTTCAATTTATTCTTCTTCAAATAAATCTGTTTGAGTTTTGTATTACCATCTGGGAAGGACAATTGAAGTTCCTCAATCTGATTCTCAGAAAGATCAAGGACTTCTAATGAATTATGGGAAAACTCAACACTGGCTTTCGTTATATTGTTTCTATCAAGACGCAATATCCTCAAGTTCTTCAATTGACCAGCGTGAGGTGGTATCTCAGACAAGTTATTAGAATTCAAGTGTAATTCCTTGAGTGATTGAGGAAGATTTATATCAAATCTTTTGAGATTACACCCCGACATGTATAGATATTGTAGCTTTGAAGCAGACCCAAATGTTGAACATCTCAATTCGATGGAACAACGAACCATTTTCAAACGCACCAAGTTCTCTGCAAAAGCATGGTTACTTGGCCAATTTATGTTTGCCAATCGTATGCTTTGTAAGCTATTTGGTAATATATAATGTGAGCCATTGTTCGAGTCTTCTAGATTCAAACTTTCAATTTGGAGTGGAGCACCATCTCTGTTCTTGGAGATGTCGATATTTGTTGCATTACTTACATCAAGCCGTTGTAGCGCCAATGGAAAATTGTCGCCACGTAATTTAATTATCTTGTTGCCAGTAATATTGAGTCGAGAAAGGCTTTGTGGAAAAATAGTACCATCCAACGATTGGATGTTGTTTGAAGAAACATCGAGATTGGCCAATGACAATGGAAAATTAACCCCAGAAAGAGATTCGATTCGACTAACATGTAAAGAAAGAGATTCAACTGAGTCTGGGAACTGGAAACTTAGAATTTGTTCCCCAATATCGTTCTCACTCAAGTCAAGATATCTTAAGGTTTTAAACTTCCTGAAATTTGGTTCGGCGTCATAAAAGTTGATTGAGCAGTTGCTTAAATCTAACACTTTCAAGCCCAAAGGATTTGTGGCGAAAAGCTCTCCCAAACTAAAAGAAATCTTGTGCAATGTCAATTCTGTTAAGGTATTAGGAATAGCGGTAAGTGTAGGCCAATCATGTACGGGACAATGTACTTGGTTGTTATTGAATACAAGTCTGCGTGAAGGGTAGATTGTCAACGGAATACCAAGAGGACCAGTTACTGACAAAGATTCCAATTTGAAATTTTTTACATTTGCAACATCTTTCAACAACTCCAAAAACCAATTGTCATCGTACATTGTTCCCTCACCCTCAAATGTGATGCTTTTAACTTCTGAACTGATCATGTAACGAAGAATAACCTCTATGTCGTCTGAAAAGTAACGGTCCAGGTCTAAAAAGGAGATGTGTTTGAGGATTGGTAATTTTAGGGCGTCTGGATTCAGCACAGGCCTGTCAACATCACAGTGAGCTATATAGAGGCTCTCCAACGATAGTGGAAGTTTGGTTATATCAAGGGATGCAAAACGACGTGATAGCTCTTTAAGGCGGCGATAATTCAACAAGGAGCCTTGGTACTGCTCACCAGATATTTCCAAAGACTCGAGGTTTTCAAAAATGTCTAAATTAATTTCATGCTCAAATTCCAGCAGTATATCTAATGATAGCTTACTAACGCGATCCTTTAAATGAGTCAACTTCTCAAGCAACTCTGAGCCATTAATTCGATTCATGTGATCGATATGCACACTTAAAGCCAATCTAGCATACTTGCTCGAGTTCAAACTGGCCACTAGTTTTTCAAATTCGAAATAATCAACAATTGTTTGAATTTCATAGCGCACTGTGCATTCAACTTGAAGCCTTTCTTCCACGCAATAGTCATCAAAGAATTTAAATTCCTCAACACCCATAAAATTTGACACTTTTGTATCTCTAAAATGGTCTATACCCCCCAACGATTTCAGCTCTTTCCAATTTCCAAAATTGGACATGTCTAATAGAGTCACTCGGTTGTCGAATTTGTACTTTGACTTCTTCTCTATCTCATGGTTAACGGCCAGTTTCAAGTTCTTGTTCCGCAGTAAGAATAACTTATCTGATAATAGCCCAATGAGGTTGGTTGTACCTGCTATTGAAACAATGGTTTGTAATATTTCGTTCGGCAATGAGTCCAAAGCCATTATTTGCCTTGACTCGCGTATACCGCTTATACTTGTCGGCTGCTCAATACACATAAAATTTATCGAAGAGTTCGACAAGTCACTTCAAAGTCCATGCACTGATATCAACTGATGAATTAAAGTGGAAAATCTGACACTTGAGTCGAAGCATAATTATCCATGATTTGTTCCACTTGCTGGCAATTTCTACCTCGGCGAAACGTACATTAAAATTTTTCAGCATGAAGCACATAGTATTTTTTCTATTCCTCTCGAAAGTTTACTATTAATAGGATGTAAAATCAATAAATAAACAAAGGAATACAATTTTGCTTGGCGAACATCGGACCCTCAATCTATCATTAGAGACACAAAGTTTAGTTCAACCTTGTTGTCGTATAGTAAATAAATACAGCCGCCAAACTGCCCTGTAGGTAATCAGTAAGAAAACAAAGATACTATACGACAACGAATATAAAAGTAACCAATAGAGTTCAAACTTGCAGATAATCGCTTGATTGGTATGAATGGGAAATACAAATAAAGCTATTCAGAATTGTAAAAATACATGAGTTTCGCAAAAAAGCCAAGTGAAATGAATTGACAACCAACCTCTCTCCTAAAATAAAAGCCACACCACCTCTCCTAAAATCCAACATTGGAATCCAATCCCTACCGTCTTCAGCCAACTACAAAATCCCATCATTGACTCGGGAAACTAGTTGGCCATCTAGCACCATTGTACAACTTGGAATATAGAGCAACATCCAACGGCTTCGAATCTTCATCTCTTGAAAAGCACCACATGAGGCAACATTTGAATAAGTAAAGTGCACATTTTCCAAGACCGCGCCTGAATAGTTTTGAGGATTAGAATCTCCTCAAGAATTGAATAAAGATTCCGGTGGGACATAATGTATGTATCTAAATTGGTTTCTTTGAGTATAACATAGGGATTGCATGGAAATGGTCTCTTCCGATTACCAAAATCACAAATGATATGAACTGGTAACAGTAGTAATTTCCATGATTACCGATAGTTCCTCAAAAAAATAATTCATACACCAACCGATCCGTACCATCTCACTCAACACTTTCTTGAAACTGTCAAACAGTTTCCAAGCTGAGCTAGGACGATTCTCAGTTCCAACTCTTGGTCTACAACATCACTTTCCAACCCGCGATTATCCAACAATAGACTTGGTCTGCTTCCCGCTGCACTACTGCCTTGGTTTTTTTAGGCTCTTTCAAGATCGATTTTGGGCTCTCGCTACTCTTCAACTTTGTGGGCTTTTTCAATTTTAACTTTACCAAAACCTTCTTGACCGACGCAAAACGGAATCT